TTGCTTGGCCCATAGTGTACGCAGCCCACAAGACCACCCTGACATAGTGACATTCCTCCCTCCTTAGAATTCGGCATTACGCCCAAGCCGATGGAAATGTAATCACCCAGATCCCATATTCCCATGTGGATGCAGCTCGAATAAGGCCAAAACACATGCAGCCTGTTCGGGAGGCCGTATCGTATCGTGGATTATTTACTGCTGGCTGGTTTGGTGTGAGAGAAAAACACTGTTCCCGGCTGGAAATTTACGATCGTTTACGAGCAAGCTAACCTGCAGTCGCCGTCATCGTCATCATTCATCGGGTACAAAGCAGCCCAAAAGAAAAACCGCCTGGAAGCTAGTCTGAGGACCTTTAGTACCGAACCAGCGGCCTTTGCGCCAAGCGACGTCTGCCCTTGTCTCTTTCCTTTTTCCATTCAGCCTACTTCTTAGCTTTGTTCCGTCGGTCTAAGGCAAAGTTTTGATGCAATTTAGAGGAAAAGATCAGTGCGAACTAAAAAAAAGATAATCGGAAGATGATTAAAGAAAGATACATAGACATCAAGGTGGAAAGTCCAATGCTTATTGATCAAAGAAGACGCAATAGGGGTCTTCTTAAGAAGAGTTGCTTTGATGAAAAGAGTGTAGCCACGATGGCAAGTCAAGGTGGGGCCCTGTGAAGGCAAACCTTGTGTATGTTGGTGTGATGACGAGAGAAAGGAAATGATAATGCTACGAAGCGGGCGTCCATCTGTTCAGACATATCGCTCTGCACTAGCTCCCTCTATCTGGGCCAAATGGCCAGCAGCCCAACCAGCCACTGCACTTATTCATTCCCTCTCTCTCTCTTACACATAGGCCCGAACGTCAGCTGCTCTTCTCCTTCCTCCAGACGGCAAAAGCAGTCATTGCTTGCTCGTACGAGAGCACGCGTGTTGCTTCCTGCACCTGCTCCTCAACCCGACCCACACTGGCTCCCCGCCACCCAACCCGACGGGCTGTCGTCGCGCGCGCCGCTCCCCGCAACCACACCCCGCCACTTTGCCACCATCCCCGTCGCTTCTCGCGAGCATCCTCTCCGACCTCGCCGAGATCAGCGGCTCCTTCTAGCCATCATGCGTGGCAAGGCGGCCAGGAGAGGGGCCGCCTCTAGCCGGGCCAAGCTAGGCGCAGGCGCAGCTGGCCGAAACCGGTCGTTCCCTGCTCTGCTCTGCGTAGTCCGGAAGAAGAAGGGTGAAACACACATGTTGCAAGCATATGTTTTATGTGTATCAGATGTTTCGTAGGTTTGTTGTATGTGTTTCATATGAATGTTTCAAAGTAAATCAGGATGTTGCATATGTGCAATGGTTATACACATATGTTGCAAGCTTCTGTCCCCAATGTTCCATCTGTGTTTTTTTATAGGCACGTTGTAAGTGTGTTAATCTAGATGTTGCATATGCAGGTGCGGAGAACCCGGTAGGGCGAGGTAGGGCACTCGCCCTACCTTGACTCAGCTGCGGATCCCCTCCCCAAAGCGCTTCCTGCTGCTAGTCAGTAGCCATGGGCGCAGTTTGGGAGTTCCAAAGTCTGAATATGATACGAACATAGGGGCGCAGCCGAAGGTAGAAGACAAGCAGTTAAGCATAACTAAACGTTACTTGGGCTGTGGCTTTGGTCTGGCCATATGGGCTTTCATTAGAGGTTTATTAGGACCTTATTATAGGCCTGCTGCTGTCCCCAAATTTGCGGACTTACATCCCGACCCGGCTGATCTGAATTCGTGATCTTGCCTTTTCGTCTGCTCGATCGTGAGTTCGTGATTTGCGGTTGCGGCTGATTTGGTGACTCGCGATGTGATGAGGGCACCGGAGGGAGGCAGGGAGGCGTCAGGCGCTAAGCTGCTAATGCCATCTCATCTTCAGTCTTGCTGATTGTAAATCACCTTTCAGTCCCTTCTTCGTTGTTCCTCCTCCAGCTAGGCCGCAACAGGCCAACAGTTGCTCCTTCCAGTTCCTGTATCACGGCCACAAGGTAAGGCTCGACACCTGAAATTGTTTTTTTTCCAGTTGTTTACTTGTTTGTTCAATTAATCAAGTTGTTGATTATGAATTAATTTCGTTGCTGATTTTGAAGTAAAATGAAATTGTGAAGATCATTAAATAAATATGGAACCAAAAGGAAAGGGCAATGCTCAAAGGCTTAAAACTGGAGGTACATGTTGCAAACCTGTAATTAGAAAAAATTTAACATAAAATAATTTTACACTTGTGCTGTTATACATACCAATTGGTGTTGGTCGAATACAGATTTGAGGAAATTTTGGTCTGATGTTGGCATCACAAATGTTATCGATTTCGCCATACCTTAAATTTCTTCTGTCCACCGCCACTGTGCATATGTTTCACATATATGTCGCAAGTGTTTTATCTGGATGTTGCGTATATTTGCAGTGGTTTCAAGTGTTTTCATGTGTTTTTGTAAGTGTTTCATATGCATGCTTCAAGTGTTTTATCTGTCATCATACGTATGTTGCAAGTGTTGTATCTAAATATTTCAAAAGTAGATCAGGTGTTGCACATGTTGCAAAGCACGTGAGAAAGAAGGGGCTCGAGCGGTCCCCACGCGCGGTCTTGTGGCTCGGGAGGCATGGGCCCCGTGTGGGCGCGCGAAACGCAGGCAAGAGTGGGGGCGTCCTGGCGCGCGCGGAAACGGAGTGCCGCGCGGACATTTGTTCGGACATTCGGACGCTAGCACTGCCGGAAAGGAAATGACCGTCGAACCCTGCAATGACTTCAACCAGCGGACCAACCTATCTGAGAGTCGCTTGGCCTGTGGCCTACGTCATGCTTGGTGGCTTGGCCTGTGGCTTTGTTGACTAGTGCAAAGGCCCAACCCAACGACCTTTCTGAGAGTCGCTAGAGAATGGCCAATAAGCCGGATTCCCACTCCTTGCTTTACCTACTTTTTTACCCAGCGAGTGCTACTGATTCCTTTATTTCCCAAAGGAATGAAATGCACCAGGGAGCTCAAAGCCTCCAGCAGTTGATATCTTGTTGAAAAGATAAGCTGAAAAGTATCGTTGGCGGATTTGTTGTGAGAGAAAAATATTATTCCTTCACTAGAAAAATACGGCTCATAAGACAAGCATACCTATAGTAAACTTGAAACAATAAGCATCTGGTCAGTTTTGCCCATGTAACTGCAGCAACTCGAATACATGTAGCAGGAGCTGATCAATAATTGCTCTGTTCGCTTGGCTGATAAGTCGTGGCTGAAAGTACTGTTGGCTGATTTGTTGTGAGAGAAAAATATTGTTCGTTGGCTGAAAAAAATATGGCTTAAGCCAAGCGAACAGAGCGAATAGTTTTGCCGAGGGCCATTAAGTGCAGCATCTTTGAAAAATGGCAGGACAATTGCAGTTAGCAGAACTTTCAATGCAAATAAAGTAAGCCACATGATGGTGCTACTCTGAAACTTTGGCTTCTTTACGACCAAACCTCTTACTCATGGCTTTTCTTTCTGTCAACTCAAGTTGAAGAATCAATCCAGTGAGCACTAGCCAAAACAAAAGTGCATTGGTATATCATCTCACAATTTGTTTTAGAAAAAAAGAGCATCATGAAAATTGGTTCTGGGCATTGGGTTCTCCCGTGATGCAGCCTGTTCGCTGGTTGGTGCTGGTGCTGATTTGGGTTGGCTGATGCTGGTTTTTTAAGAGGAAAACACTGTTGGTTGACTGGTTTGGGCTGGCTGAAACCAACAAGCGAACAGGCTGGTAAGCTCATGAATGACTTTAATTTTCTGCATATGAGTTAGAATAGATAATTGGTACTTGTTTGTTATTACCAATTCCACTGAAAACTTGACATGATATTCGTGTGGAATGAAGCACACTTCTGCTGCCTCAGATCTCTTGTTGGCTCATAATGTATGCATAGAACTATCCCATCCTGTAGAGCAGTTAATTCCAGAACTGCCATTTCAGCTTGAACTTGGATGCTGCCACACTGCATATTACTAGGAGTATAGTAGCATCTCCCGTCTCCCTCGCAGCCCCAGCCGTGTCGTGAACAGTACTCGTCTTACTGTAGCACCGCGGGTACTTTAGCCCATCTGTCGCCGTCTCTCCCTCAGCTCTCTCTTTCTCTCAATCCTAGCAGCCACATAACAATCTTGCCCATGGCCGAGCAAGAGGAAAGAGATTTCCTTCTTAATTCTTGCTTAATTAAATTAATACATCTCCTCTCCTTATATAGAGAGGTTTACTTGACTTCCAAATAAAGCTTACTTGACCCTTAAGCCAGCGACCCTTATCTCTAATTAACCCTAACACTAGCGAGTTATACCACCAACCCAGGCCCAATAGGCTCATGACGTACTCTAACAACTAGAGACATCAAACAAAAGACGGGATGGATTTCCATGACATCGGCAGTGTCAAAAAAAAAAGTTGAAATTGTGTAGATCGACGACTTCATCGTAAACATTACTGCAACATAATCTCTCTTATATCCTCTTTGAAACGCAGAAATTTTACAAAAAAAAAATATACAAATTTTAGAAGAATTAGTTAAATAGTTCATAGTTCATTTTCACAGAAAAAAAAAACATGAAACAAAAAAAAAAACATCTCAGTTTCAAAGAAGGCTTGTATACTGAACTTGCCCACTAGTTTCAATGTAAATAATTTCCCGTGCTTGCCCATTGCATCGCAACATGATCTATATCCATAGGATCGATCATTCTTGACGGGAAATCACTGTCACCAAGGACAGCGTTGCCATCACTGTGGGTTCGTTCAAGAGTCACAATCGAACAGAAATGAAGCCAGGCATCCAAATTCCAATTCCAGTCACAACTCACAACAAAAGTATCCATAGTTATGGTATTAAGATTGACAGGTGAGCCAACAGATCGCCTCCGGGTAGAACGAACATACTACTGGTTCACAATCGCCCACAAATGACAAACCAAACTGACAACGACAACATTTACAGCCATGCGACTGGCCCTTATTGACGACGACTATCTCCTTAGGCAGAAGCGGACGCGGTATGCTTCTGGATCAGGGCCAGGAGCTCGTCCTTCCTGGCACCGACGATGGTCTCCACCGTCTCACCGTTCTTGATGAAGTGGAAGGTCGGCATCGCCTCGATTTTGTAGGCCGCGGTAACTTCCTGTTGAACAGAGAAACAGCATCAGCACAATGTCATGGAGGCTGGGTGAACCGGTGGATCCCTATTGAAGTGGGACACCGTGCTCACCTTCAGTTCGTCCACGTCCACCTTCAGGAAGACAGCCTGAGTGAACTTCTTGGCGTGTTCGACAAACAGTGGAGCAATGGCGCGGCAAGGACCGCACCAGGAGGCAGTGAAGTCAATGATCACCTGAAAGGTTGCCCAAGTTGACAAAGCACCATGTTAGAGGCCGTAGAATTGTTATATAGGCCTTGTTTAGATGCCACCAAAATTCCAAGTTTTTTCACTCTCTCTCCATCACATCAATTTTTAGTCGCTTGTATGGAGTATTAAATGTAGGTAAAAAAAATAACTAATTACATAGTTTAGTTGGAAATCACGAGGTGAATCTTTTGAGCCTAGTTGGTCCACGATTGGACAATATTTGTCAAATAAGACAAAAGTGGTACTATTCATCGGGTTGAAATTTTTTCAGCATCTAAACGAGGCCATAGTAGTATTATACTGTAGGAGTATAGTTCTAGGTGCGAGTGCAACGCAGGTCAACTATGCCACAGAAGAAAACGACAAGAACAACAACTCATGGTAGAATTAGACAGCATGGGCACAGATATAGCATTGGCTACCCCTCACATCATCCATGTCCCATGTGGACAAAATCCAACATAAGAGAACAAACCAGCTAGTACATCCAGGAGAAAGGCACAGAGCTGGCCTGTAGCCCTTGAATTCTATCGAATTTCAACATGACTTCCTAGCAGATCTCAACATCATCCGTTGAATTCTTCTCCAATTCCAAATTACTCCCCTTGAGTGTATCAAATTTCAACATCACATCATAAGTTCATAACAGAGGACATCTGTAACTGCTAAATTTTCCCCAAATTTTAAATGAGCTCCCCTTGAGTGTACCAAATTCCAACATGACATCGTAAGTCCATAACAGAGGACATCTGTAACTGAATTTTTTCCCCAAATTTTAAATGACTTCCTATGATAGCTAAGTTTATTATTCATCTATGCCACTTCGTAAATTAAGTAGAAATACAGATCTCCAAACAGAACAACCGCCAGCTCAAACCAGTCAGACAAGTTACCGCAAAGCTCATACGGGTAGAGATATGGGTCTCCGGTTCGAAATAGAGATCAGCCGTACGCAAAATAATTTAAATCACGCCTATATATAACTACTACATAACCACCAGAGATTCAGCTACAAATTGGGGATCGATTCGAAAAGCATGTGCAATAAATTCGTTGCATCGACATATCACCACTCCACCAATAAATCTGCGCACACCGTGGACATCAGAACACCCGATCCTCTTAGGCTACATCAATCGACATCATCCCCTAGATTGTACGGAGTATTTGCCAAATCGGCAACGAGCCACCAAAATCTTCCCCACTACACGCGCCCCGAACACCCTAAATCGCCCGAACGCGAGCATCTCACATGCGATTCCGAACAAATTTGAGCACGGGGGGTGACCGCATAATAAGGAAACCAAAGACGAATCGAGTAAAACCTAGCCGTTAGCGCGACGAATCCCCTCAACAGCTTTCCAAACAAAAACACGGGGAAATTACAAGGAGACAGATGGGGATCGGGGAAGACGAGGCGCGGGGGCGCGTACCAGCTTGCCGGCCTCCTTGGCCTTGGCCATCTGGGCGTCGAACTCGGCCTTGGTGTGGCACGCGATCACGACTCCCTCCTCGGACGCCATTCCTGTCTTATTCTTCCTCGGTGGGATCGAAAGCTTCTGTAGATTAACGTTTCTATCGAGGGCTGGATTGCAAGACTGCGTTGGTGGCCTCATCCGGGCGCGTGCACGCGGCATTTATAGGCGCAGCGACTGGGACGGGGTCGATGGAAAATGACCGAAAAGCCCTGGCGGGTCCACGTTGCGGGGCGCGTACGCGGGGTACGCACGTCACCGCGCTCGTCGGTCGGCTGTCGTGTTGTTTCTCGAAGTTTCAGGAGTCGGGACGGTGTGCTTGTGTACGGGCCTACGGCCGCTGTGGTGCAAAATCTGTGCGAAAGAAAAATTCGTATTCCTACCTTCCACAAACAGTTTGAATCGACCAGGTCAACGTATTTGAAACTTGATCATTAATACCTTTTTTGATGAATACATTTTAATTATATTTTAAAATTTGTATGACTATTTTTTTAGCAAATATGGTTAAATTTCCTTTATAAAATATTTTCAATCTACATACAATTAGTTAACGCGGCACCAGTAGCTACCACCGCGTGTTATCTTTTTGAATATTTTAAATTATATTTTTAAAATTGAATGGCTATTTTTAGCAAATATGGCTACATTTTCCTTTAAAAATGTTTTGAAATGTTCTAATCGCTACAACTCATGTTACTTTCGGGGTTGGGGCCACTAACAACGGCCACAAGTAGTTTGTTTGATTAGGTGCTACTTTACAATCTTCACTACGGGAGAGCCTGGCTTTGCTTAGTGTGTCATGGATTCTTAGAGTGCTAAATGTGGGACACTCGGCAATTTCTTGAAATCTTTAAACTTTCGGCGATGACGACTTTCGGCAAAGCTCTCTTTGTCGAGTGCGGCACTTGGCGAAAGACCGGTGACAGCAAAAGAGGCTTCTTTGCGAGTCTCTTGAGAGCACTTTCGACAAGGGACGACCCTCGACAAAGAGGCGACGAGGGTACTTCTTGTCACATTTGCGAGTGCCCCCGTTAGGCACTTTCGACAAGAGCCTTTCTTGAGTGCGAGAGTTGAAACTCGACAAAGCATAATTTTTTTGCCTCCAAACTTTTTCTTCAGCCCTTACACATTAAGTTGAAGTACATCCTCAAATTTGGCACATTTCTCGATCTTTTTGCTATATATCCTTAATTTATTTCATTTAATTGCATTTTTGGAAATGTAAGTTTGAGCTATGCAGTGCATCGAATAATGGAATTGACGAGTGGAAAAATGATATTAGCGTTACTTATTGTATTTTGAGGCCGTTTCGGAAGCTTATAGAAGTTTCAAACATCTCACGCATACGAAACATGGCGACAAAATTGCGGGTGAAGTGTCTTTTAATTATATAAAATGCAAACGAAGTTCGAAAATCATGAAACTTGGTGACGCGTCTTTACATCACATGTGGAGGCTATGGTAAAAATTTGAGAACATTGATCACGTGAGATGTCTAGGTTTCTAACCATCCTACATGACAACGTACGCGTAATGTTCTCAAATTTTTACCATAGCCTCCACATGTGATGTAAAGACGCGTCACCAAGTTTCATGATTTTCGAACTTCGTTTGTATTTTATATAATTAAAAGACACTTCACCCGCAATTTTGTCGCCATGTTTCGTGCGTGAGATGTTTGAAACTTCGGGCGCGCTCCTGGAAACGGCCTCAAAATACAATAAGTAACGCGAATATCATTTTTTCACTCGTCGAATTCCATTATTCGATGCACCTGCAGTTCAAACTTATATTTCCCGGAAAAATGCAATTAAATGAAATAAATTAAGTATATATAGCAAAAAGATCGAGAAATGTGCCAAATTTGAGGATGTACTTCAACTTAATGTGTAAGAGCCGAAGAAAAAGTTTGGAGGCAAAAACAAAAAAAAATTATGCTTTGCCGAGAGCCCAATTCTGGCACTCGGCAAAGACTCTTTGCCGAGTGCCTAAAGGGGGGCACTCGGCAAAGGTGAAAGTTTTTAAAAAAAACGTGGACGATTTTGGATTTTTTTTAATCTGAGCTTTGTCGAGTGCCAGATCTGCGGCACTCGGTAAAGAGATAAGTTTTTTTCTTTTAAGTACGATTGTTTATTTTTTTTAAAAAAAAGAAAACTCTTTGCCGAGCGCCATATCTACGGCACTCGGCAAAGATATTTGAAAAAAAAATTAAAAATCCTTTGCCGAGTGCCAGTTCGCGGGCACTCGGCAAAGGAAAGGGCATTTCCTTCAGCCGGCCCACCCCGAAGCCCCATCGGCCACACACGCTGCCCAAGCCTGCCTCAAAGACTGCCTCTCTGGCCACACACAGCCAGTTGCCTCACGGTGAGCCCCGCCACCACCGGCGACCCCATGTCAGCGTCCCACCACTGCTTCCCCCACCCACTTCCCAATTGATCACACACACAGGCCAGCACCGCGGCCACCCACCCCGCCACTCGACCTGCTCCACCTGCCCACCAGCATGGCGTCTCTCCTCCTCCTCCTCCCCTCCCCCTCCACACCACCCAGCGCCCCATGGCCATTGAACGCCGACGGCCCACTGCCGTCGGAGAAGGAGAGGGAGGGCTGCCTTCACCTCCTCTCCCGTGGGGCTCAAGACCCCACCCCCCCCTGCCGCTCCGGTTCTTGGAGGGAGGAGGCAGAGGTGAAGTAGGAGGAAGGAGAAGAGGAGAAGGAGGAAGGGGAAGAGAAGGAGAAGAAGAAGAAAAGAAGAGAAGAAGGGGAAGAAGGAGAGGAGGAAGGAGGAAGGGGAAGAGAAGGAGAAGGAGGAGTTCTCGGCGTCTTCTTCTGCGCGTGCACGTCCCGCCACCACCCAAGGTATATGCACCGTCCCTTTGTGAACGTCGGCCTTCGTGCTGTGAATGTCGGCATTCGTGCCGTTGTGAATGTCGGCCTTCGTGCCCTTGTGAATGTCAGTCTTCGTGCCGTGAATGTCGGCCTTCATGCCGTTGTGAATGTCGTGAATGTCGGCCTTCATGCCCTTGTGAATGTCGGCCTTCGTGCCATTATTTTTTGCAGGTTTTGGAAACCTCCCTGTACAGGGGAGGTTCTACCGAAATTTTCAACTTATAGTGTTGTGTTTCTTGTTTTGCAGAGCAGGACCTGTCAGAGGGGACCCGTAGTACCTAGGTGACCCCGATCGTCTTCATCGGTGTTGCGGTCTTGCCTGCACAGCCTCGCTTTGCCACTGCACCGACTCGCCACTGCCCCGCTAGCCTGACTCCACCGCCACCCTAGGTATAAATAACCTCTCTTCCTTATCGTTGTCGTAGATCGGTGTAACCCAGTTAGGCGTCTCCCGTCCGAAAGAGATACGGTTGGAAGTATGAAGATCTTTACATATGTATAACCGTATCTATTTTGGATTGTCCACATTTTCTAGACAGCCCACGGATGCGTAGACGAGGTTAGTTTCCATGGTCTGCTCCAATCCGAGACAGAGTTTTGGCATCACCTCCATGTTGTTCTCCGGATACACACTCTCCCTGCCAGGACGTATATCTGGAGAACAACGGGGAGGTGCTGTCGAAATTCTGTCTCGGCTCGGAGTAGATCATGGAAGCTAACCTCGTCTACGCATCCGCGGGTGGGATTAGGACCTATCCTCACCTATTAGATAGTAGGAACACCACGTAGATGCAGTTGATGGTTACGTTACTCGTTGATATCTATTTTAGAGGATGGATGACTATGAGTGGATGTACACGGGATACAGAAGTCAGAGTGATTTCAGCACTGAATGGGGGCAGAAGACCGAGGCTTTCTTGGACCGTGCATTCGGCAGGGGTGTGAATAGAGCGCATCTAATGAAGTGTCCCTGCAGCATGTGTGCAAACAGAAAATGGCAAAAGAAGGACAACATGGGTATACATCTTCAGAAGCATGGCTTTATGCCGGACTATACCCGGTGGATCCACCATGGTGAAGCCCATCGGATGAGAGAGGAAGTGGTGAGACCACGCCTCGAGCATGTTGATGATGATGGCGGGGTTGCAGACATGTTAGATGACTATCAACAAGCACAGATCCCAGATGGACGTGCGGAGGAGACGGAGGCATCCGCAAAGGCGTTCTATGACATGATGTCTACGCCCAGTGATTCACCCAGAGGGGCAAAGGTAAGTGCCTTTGCATGTTATCACTTTTACTTCATATGCTATGTTCGATATCGAAATAGTGACTAATATGTTTTCTTAATCACTTCTGCAGGGGGTGGGAGATTGTGTCGGGGAACACTACCTCCCGCCATGTCAATGGCATCCTAGGTCTCCTGTGCAGGAGACACTTCCCTGGCATGGTCATGCATGTCGGGAACCTCGAGCCCGCCTTCACGTTTGCCCACTACGAGTCCACCCCCACGTGGAAGCAGGCACCGTGGCTGCGCTCGTCATTCGGGAGTTCTGGGTAAGTCTTCCTCGCACTACATGGCTCAATACAACGCAATCATTGGACTCTACTTGAAATAACTAATGCATACATCGTGTCTGTATGTGCAGGAGTACTTCAAACTTGACGACGGATTCGAGGGCACGGCGGAGGTAGTGGCTAAGCGAGCTTGCAGGAAACGCGTCGTCGATGTCCATCATGAGGCACGACTCTAGGCCATCATAGATTACTATGGGATGAAGCTCGGACAGAAGGTCACCAAGAAGGACATCCGAGAACAAGACTTGACGCTGACCAAACCCCAGTTCCTTGAGGTAGCTAAAGAACATTAAAATTGGTTCCTTTTGAGATTAAGTACGAATCACTTGTTTTTCTAATATGTCATCTACTTGATGACGTGTAGGTGATTCCTTGGTGGTGCAATGGGTGCCTCGTGGCTTGGGCGAAGATGGTGGACAGGTGGTTAAGCGCGGAATGGGCCGCTCAACACGCGGTTGTTCGGCAGCGGCGTTTGTTCATGCCAGGTGTATCACACCATTAAGGCAACCGCAACCTCTTCGGATACGCCCGAGCATGGGTACGTGGTCATGTTTCTATTCTTCTTGCTTTCGTTGAAC